TGGAGTGGTAAATGGGTATCTAAAACCCACAAGGGTATTGTGGTAGAGAACCCCTTAAAATAAACATTTCTACAGATGGTGGCCATGGTCTGATACACCAATATGGTTGTACTTACAGCCAGAAATGGAAATTAACAGCTTGTTGTTGACTAAAAAGAAATCTATACAAGGGTATGAATTGTGAATACTGTTGGGTGGAGGTTTATTTTTTTTCTAAATATAAAAAAGATCAGTGGTCAACAATGGTCTAAAGGAGGATATTTCAGCAGTTAAAGTGCACTCGTAAAATGAAGTTGAGTACATGGAGAGGTCTGGTAGCACTGAGAAAACCTGTCCAAAAAAGTCCTCATTGTCCCAGTTTGACCATTGGCTTGAGTCACATTTCCACCACAGATACTACTACTATGATCATTATAAACATGCCGGCAGTATGTACTATGATCATTATAAACATGCCGGCAGAATCCACGATATCTTGGTGTAGAAGTATGACAGCACCTATTTATTGAAAATGCCGGATTGTGTATTGTCTCGACCAAGTCCTTTTTCAGTCCAATAGAATCAATAATTTTCAAATGGGTTTTCTACTATGACAGATGTGGGCAAACGTTTTGACTCACGGTCCACAATTGTACAGAGGGGCCGGGTCAGCAGCAGATAGATGGAGGGTTTGTGTGAACTAAGATAAATGACATGTTAAAGTCATGCATAAAGGTTAAAATGCTAAAATGCTTTTATCATTACCTATGCCATCTATTGGGGAAACGTTGGTATTGCAGGGAAAAGGCAGAAGTATAATGATAATATAAATAAATTATGCAACTTGGAAAAGTTTGGCGGGCAGGATTAAAAAGCTGAACGGGCCTCGTCTAGCCCCCGAGCCTTAGTTTGCCCGTGCTTGTACTATGAGCATGCAAGTGGTCTATGTAGATTAAAAACTTCGATTCTCTTAATTTGGTCTAATTTTGTCTCTGATATCACCATCCTCACTTGATGGTGAGCTCCTCACCTGTGCTGACAGGAGATACAGAGTTTAAGAATAAATTGTAAAAATAAATATGAAAACTAGAGATACCAGGTCATCTACCTCACACATACGGGAAAGGTAAGGCTCCAACCTTCTCCTGGGACAAAAAAAAATCCCTTGCAGACCCTCCAGCATGAACAAAACGTCCCACTTTCTCCTGTCCTAGCAGAATCATCTGTATAATGATGCATGCTAACTTCCCCCACATGGAACACGAACTCTGTTGTTGCTACTGGATGACCTCTTGGAATCTGTATATAAACTGTATGAGAATATGAAAATCTGGCTCCATTCATACCATTGATGTTCTACTTTATACCCTAGCTCCTCCAAATTATCATTTTGAATCAACCTAACACTTTGCTACACCAGAGCTGTCACTGTATCCAGCCAAAACAGTAGCTCATCCCAATCATTAATCAAGAGGTTCCCAAAGTAGGGGGTGCACAGATGTAACAAATGAATGAAACGTAACGCATCATGTGGTCCAATGCCATAAATGTTTAACAAGAGACTGTCAAAAAAACTGATTTGGTTGAAGGTGGTGTAAAATGGATATCTGACAATAATATTAAATTTTCATATTAACCAATAGGGGGCCCATAAGAGAAAGTTGCTTTAATCCAACACAGGTAGAGGTTTGTTTGTTTTTTTTCTAAGCACAAATGGTTACACACCAGTGGCGCTTTGGCCCAGAGGCAATGTCTCTGTCATTGGTGTGGAACCCCAGGGTTCACCTCCTGGTCAAGTTCAAATCCCGGTTAGGGTGGTTGGTACCTTCCAGTGGACTCACCACCTGCAGGAAGGTTTAGGGGGTTGGTATGGTGCAGTGTGATTTGGGTGGAGACTGCTGCCCCCGTGACCCGATAAGCGGATGAAAATGGATGGATGGATGGATGGTTACACACACCAAAAATAGGATAAAAGAAACACACTCACATGAGAACCACAGTCATCTTCAGAGAATAAGTCACTGTACTTCATTTATTTATTTAATTTATGCCGAATATTCAAAATGCACTCGTGTACATGTACAGTGTGTGTGCGTGCATGCGTGTGTTTTCGACTGCTAGAGAGTATTTTTAATACATTTATGTTTCTGTCACAAGCATGTGACACATCATTCTCCAGGCAGTGCTTCCTCCTTTTACACCCACACAACTAAAACACACAGACATTCACACACAAACACACAAACACACAACCACACACACACATAAACACATACAGAGGTACCGTCAGCAATGCTAGGAAACCGGCGACTGTGACAAACACCTTAAGGCAGACGCCCCCTCAATGGAAATCTTCCATCTCTTGTGCAACAAGAAAACACACAACGCACACCCAAACAAACACTTATGCACACATGACACCGTAACTGTACATGTACAGCTTTAAAACCATGAGCCTGGAGACTGGAAGATCTACTCCCTACAATCTGTTTTGGAGTGAGTTTTAGCTAAGGGAGCGCTGGACTTGGGGTTTTTTTAGTGAGTTCTCTACCATCCTGTAACATTAACAGGTCTCTTTGGGGACATTTTTTTCTAAAACCTGTTTTATTGTGACAACCTCTAGCGGTTTTACTTCCAAATGACTGAGAGTTGCTGTCACGTGATTGGTTGATGCTGCATCTGCCTCGGCATTTCTTTGCAACAGGTGTGTCTATAAAAGTGACCGATGTGACTGCGAATTGATCTCATTACGAGCAAGACCGTGTGAACACTCGGTTAGCTGCTAAGACATATGGAGCTTGAAGTACAATTGTAGCACGCACACACATATACCCGCAGACGCATGCACATGCTGAGCGTATGTAGCATACATACGACTCCAATTTTTCAGTGTCTCTGCAGCGCCCAGAGGAACACACGATAGCGATAGTACCTGTCCCTGTTTGTCAAGATAAGGAGGATGTAATAAGCGCATGTGTGCACAGTCAGTACATGCACACACAGACACACACACACAGACAGAGCAAACAGAGCAGCACGCAGTGATGTGAATACAGAGTGGGAGCAGTGAGAGTCATTCACAGCAGCAGGAGCAGCAGAGTGGGATGCAGATGAGACGCCTACATCAGACTGAAGAGGGAGACTCAGGATGAAACAGAAACCCAAATAGAATCACCACCTTATCACTTCAACTTATCAGGAAGAACTTCTCGCAACTGTTTATACTTCTTTTTTCTTTCTTTCTTTCTTTCTTTCTTTCTTTCTTTCTTTCTTTCTTTTTTTTTTTTTTTTTTGTATTTCACATCTCAGTTTCATGTTTTTCACCTGTTCTGTTAACACCAGAGCAGGTGTGAGCCAAAGTGTGGTTTATTTCCGTCCTGGTTCTCCCTTATGCATTAGCACATTTTAGATGTGTTGATTAATTTATTACTTATTTTATATATCAGAGATTTGGTACAACTTCAAACTTGAAGCCCTGTTCTACAAATGTAAATTAGTAATGTATGTGTGTATACATAATAAAATCTAAGTAACCTTCCATTTGTACAGTATAAAGGCATATTTAGTGTGTTACCCATTAAATCAGTGTTGCCTTATACAGTGCAACCTCCGTTATGTTTCAGGTGCTTGTATCTCAAATCATTTTTTCCCATAAGAAAAAAAAAAGATCTGTTCTAGCCCTCTGAAAAATTCCCTTATTAGTGCTAAAAACAATGTAAATTAACTTAACTTAATTTTGCTTTTTTGCTTTTTTTGTTTTGTGTTCTTTCTTAAGCGGGCACCACACCATTTATTGACAATTTCATGCTTTATTTCCATGGTCATCATGCGTTTCTTCTTCTCACTACCATCCTTACCACTCACTCTCTTAGGACTCGTCACTATTATGAAGAATAATGCACAAAATAGAGAGAAAATCACGTAGATAATGCAAATACAATATGAAAGACTGAAAGTACGGAAGTCAGCGAACACGTGAAGTGAATGAATGAGGTGGCGTGGGCTGCTCCGAGTGCTCCGCCGCCTAGCGTCGGTGTCGTGCTCGTATCTCAAATCTTTACTCGTATCTCAAAGCAAAAATCACTCTACAGTCTTTTATCACATTTAAACAAAGGAAATCTGAAATATTTCCAATCCTAAATCTGCAGAACAAGAGCAGGAAATAATCACATTCACTGTGTCTTGATGTAAAATCACAAATTTTGTGTATGGTGATTCAAGTGAAACTAATTTATTTCTGTTAAAAATTTAACAATATTATGTCATGGAATTTACATTTCCACCTCACAGTAAGACAGTGGTTTTCTTTTTGTAGGTAATCTGAAATTGAAACCATTTTGACCTCATTAGCAATTAGCATTTTTGTTACTAGAATAGCACGAGCTGGTGGTTCGATGCTGCCTCATAAAGTGAGCCTGTACCATTGAAATAACTGTAATGAGAAATATCGTATACAAAACCAGCTGAACTGGTCAGAGGCAGCAGCGATCAAAATCTCCTGTTTTTTCTCAGGTAGAGTCAGTGGTGGAACATTGCGAAAAGTTTCGGAAATCGCTTATTCATTCCGTACTCCCTGAATAGCCATTTATATATACACTTTATAGTGGACTCACTAGTTAAATGAAAGAGGGTTTCAGACACTACTTTGGCGCGCAATTAATTGCATCATTACTATCACACAATTACAACCGACAGACGGATTCTGCTCCTCGGTCCGCCATGTTCTCCAGCCGCTACTGCATAGCATCATGGGATACATTGCATAGCTAGTGTGCACGCTATAGATGTACTCCAGATTTCACAGTGCATTGTGGGACATGTTGAGTTCCCCTTTATAGTGTACAACTTCTCACTAAACATTTGTGGTCCCCTTGTCGTGGACTTTATAGGTAAACCTTGATGCAGTAAAGAGCAAACCTCTGTTGTACTATACAGAGAACAAACAGAATATTATAAGTCATATCAATAGAAATAGTATTTTAACGGCCTTGTAAGAACAATGTTTATGTTTTGGGCCTCAGGTTTGATCCGTCTGCGGTCCAGTCCTCCTCCTCGCCTCCAGGGAGTAGAGTACATCCTGAACGTCACAGCTACGGATGATAACTCGTCAGGTGGACCTCAGCCCCTGTCCTCGACGGCACAGGTCATTGTGGGAGTTGATGACGTCAACAACAACAAACCTGTTTTTGAGAAGGTAACACCAGATTTACAGCTGTGATCAACTTGAAGATATTTTTGAATATGTGAAGTATTTGTGACTTTATGGTTCATTTGGTTTTTTTAAAAAAAAAAACATGATTTATACCAATGCTTCTCTAACCTCTGTATTTTGTATTGGGTCTGTAACTATGGCTATTTTTTTTTCTTTTTCTGATAAAACGTTCAGGTTTTCAGGCAGTGGTTCTCAATTTAATTTCTGTCATGCCCCCCTTTGAGGACAGAAATGTTTTCACGCCCCCCCCACCGACCCACACCCCCACAAATTGAAATACTGTTGAGAACCTGATAACAAGTACAAACCACTGTATGAGTTGCTGCCACCTAGTGACTGGAGGCTTGTTATCATTCAAGCATTACAGCAGTGGTGCACTGATGTCTAGCGTGCTCCCCTCCCTCCCCTGGGTGGGCCCGCCCCACTATTTGAGAAGTACTGCTTTAAAATATCCATCCATCCATCCATCCATCCATTTTCATCCGCTTATCCGTTACCGGGTCGCGGGGCCAGCAGTCGCCACCCAAATCCCATAACATAATTTAAATGTTTTTCAGCAGTGGACCTGCAGCCTTTTATTACCACACTTTAATCTATATACTGTAATGTTATTTAGGCTTTTTAGACTCATACATATACTTTCTTTAATGGGGGAAATTGATTTCAATCCAGATTTTACAGCCTTTTCAACTTTTCAACATGTTCATCAGTTTCCAAACCACAAATGTGAACTCACTCTTTGAAGCTGTTAGTGTTCTTCATCCACGGCAGTGACTAGTGTCAGTATCGTTCTTGCTCCGGCTCTGATACGGAGTTCTTATTCTTCTATCTGCCTCCAAAGCTCTCCTCCATCTCCCTCCTGTCTCTTTGTCCTTCTCTATCTCCTCTCTTTATTAAGCGTCTCAGCCTCTCCTCTCTGGAGGAGCGATTAAAGCGTCTTGACCCCTTGTCAGTGCTCTCTCATCTCCCTCCTACATCATCGTCTTTTAATTAAAGCTTTGGAGCGCCACTGTTCTGCAGCTACACTCACATTGTTTCTTCCTTTTTTTTAATAACCACATCTCATTTTTGAATGGGGGTACTTTTTTAATCGTCAAATCCTTTCATTTGTGCTCCTAGAGCAAAAGGCAACAACGGCGCTAAGAAAAATCACCATTCCTTTCTTCTTTATTCCTTTGACTTGCTATATCTGGGTTGATCTTTTTTGGAGTTTGACATGGCCAATACTTAGCTGTTTCTGTAAGTAGTGCAATAATGATTTATTTCTCATGAACAATATGGCAGAAAAAGTGAGAAAACACTTGAGAGTCTGTTGAGGAGTTCCGAGAAAAAGAAAAAAAACACTGTTCCCAGAACAGCTAAGCAACAAAAGCTTAATCAAGACATCCCAGACTAGCTGCTGTTTCCTCTGTGGCGATCAGCCAGCAGCAGTAACTGCAGCAGCAGCAGCAGCAGGACAGTGAAGCAGAAAAGCCCCTTTATCTTGTTTGAATGCTGGCTCTAATAACACACCACAGCCATCCTGAGCTTCTCAGTCCTGGTTCATTGGGCCAAGAGAGACACAGGGAAGAACACTAGGCAAGGTCTGAGAGCAGCAGATCAGACCCACCCCCTTACCCCCCTCTACCTCCCCAAAACCCCCAAATGATAACAATCTAACAAAACCTGCACTAGAATGTAGAATGAGTTTATTGTGTGTCATTGTGCAGTGATTGATTAAAAAAAAAACGCAAGACAGATTAAAAGCAGCTCCATTTCATTACACACATCATACAGTGAGGTACACACAATATATTGATGCAGTTACATGAATTGCAAGGTCCACTGGCATTATATAAAAATCAATTCAGCTCACAGAGTCATGATCTGCTGTGAGCCTAAATCTCTGATATTCTCTTTGGACCCTTGTCTATATGTCTGATTGATCCATATCCTTTACATTCCTGTGATTTTTTTCTTCTGTGGACTACAAAGGTTTTAGTCTTTAAATTGTTAAAAATGTTGTGAAATGGTATTGAAAGATTGGTCGACCTATTTGAAAAGTTTTAAAACCACAGACTTTCCTACGTTTCTGTTCATGATATAGATCAGTTGTCTTAGCTCACTGTGGACAGTTGCTGACTATCTGCTGCTCGCTGTGGATGGTTTATGTAACAGAGGCAAATATTAATTAAGGTTTCAAATGTTGACATCAAAAAGTCCATCATTTAAACGAACTGGATCCAGAAACGGTTTTGTGTAAAATATAAATTACATTTTTTTACGAACGGCATAGTTGTTTTAATTTACTTCAGTGTTGGACATAGATTAAATTTTTTACGGACGGCAGTTGTTTTAATTTACTTCAGTGTTGGAGAATAAATGGCAATACAACCACCAGCTGTAACTAATGAATGCATTTTTAAATATCTGATCCCTGATGGTAACTTTAAAAAGTGAATCATTCATAATTGTGCAGCTAAATAGGCTTTGTAACTGTTGAACACTTAAAAAATAGGTTAGATTTTGTTACATACTACATACCAACATTGTACGGTTGACCTTAAAACACCAGCATTGCTGTAAGTGATGACTGGCCCTAAACACCTCCTCATGCATGATGGGGTTTTGACGCAGTAGCAACCAGGATGATCGCTTACTCGAATAAAATGCATAAAAAGATAGAGTTCAGAATGAATTGATCGGATTAAAAATTGATGCTCTGATCTTTGGCATTTTTAGGGCTGACTCTTGATGTTTCATGCTTTCATGTCCTTGAAAAAAAAAACATCTGAAATCTGAAATTTGTCCTTGTTTGTAAATTCAGGAGAAACTTCAAGTGTTGATTTTTCAGGAGTCATCTTAAGCCTCCAGAGAATGTCCGTTTAGAAGGAGAAGAAACTAAAATCCTATGTTCGGTGAGGTTAAGACTAGTGAAGGAACATTCAAAAAACGCTCCTTCAATGTTCATTCTGTGGTGATAATAAACTAAATTTTCTCATAATGCTTTGTGGACACCAGATACTCAAATGTATACCAGACGGCACCAAGATTCTTACAAGTTTATTTTGAAGGTCTTTGTTTGTGACCTTGATCTAGAATTTGATCATGTTGTGTTGATCAGTGCTGGTCTGTCAAAACAAAGGTTTTATAACTAAAGGATACATTCTTGGCTTTTTTAGTTCTTTTTTTTTCACAAATGACTTTAAAAAATCATAAAAAAACCTCTCCCTTTCTCTGCTCAGTGCCAACAGTACAGGGAGAGCACCTCAGTCCTGGAGAACCAGCCAGCAGGGACATTTGTCTTACAGGTCCATGCTGTGGACGCTGATGAGGGTTCCAATGGGAAGGTCACGTACGGCTTCATGCACAAAGACTCGACTGTGCCTGCGTTCAGTATTCACCCAGACACAGGTACTAAAAACATTGTTTTCACTCCTGCTGACACTAATCCACAGAACTGACTGATGTACATGCTACCTGCTGCTGGTACCTGTCTGTTTATCCGCAACAGTGCCTCAAGCTCTGAGCTGCTCTCCCCTCAAGCTTTCAAATTCCCTCTGACTAATTAACCACGACTCTGACGCTAACATTTCCCATAAGCTCCTCTTTATGTTGTGTGATTTTTGTTTTGCTTTTATATTGTTGTTTTACATTGTCTTGTTCCTACATTTCTATCTATCCATCTTGTTCTTTTTGTTGTACTGCGAGGTGACCTTTGGTTTGTTTGATCCACTTCCCTGTGTTGGGTCTGTGCAGGAGTCATGGTGACAGCAAGAAAGTTCGACCGTGAACGTCAGCGTGAGTACGCTGTAACAGTCACAGCCACAGATCAAGCGGGTGACCCGCTGATAGGTATCTGTCAGCTCAACATTTTTATCCTGGACGAGAACGACAACAGTCCTAAGTTTGAGAACATCCGATATGAGTGTAAGTAGACTTTCTATATTAAATTAATACTAACAGAACTAAATTCCATATTCATCGAACCTCTTGTGCTAAGGTCTATAGAAACCATTAGTGAGTTTAGCTTTTCAGTCACAAGGACAGAGACCCTGCTACTCTCCTGTTGTGATGGTGAAAAAGGGGCAGTAGTTTGTAAAAGTCACTTTAAAATTCTATATAAATGAGACTCTATTCTTTTTGGACAGATTTTCTCCGTGAGGACACCATGATCGGTACCAGTTTCCTGCGAGTGGCAGCTCATGATGATGACTTTGGCACCAATGCCGCTATAACGTACTCAATGTCTAATGAAGAACCAGAATATCTGAGGGTCAACCCTCTCACCGGCTGGGTTTTTGTCAACCAACCTATATCGCAGGTACCTTTTACCACATAATTATCACCTTCTCCCGACTACATGTCACAGTGTCGAACCTGTCTGTCAAAAATGTGTTGTAAAGATCAGCACTGTTGCCTTGCACACAATAATTATCGTATTTGTACGAGTCACAAGATTTGCTAAATATAACACATGGTAATATTTTGAATATAATCCATTTACATGCTATCATCTCTCACTGAAACCTAATTAATTAATGTATTCATTTATAATATATGTATATACATATACTGTAGTCATTGTAGTCATACATATACTATGAAAACACGCCGAACAGAGCTCAGCCTTTAAAAAACTAGAGCCCATTGTGACCGGGGCAATGATGGGCAAGGAACAAGACCCCTGCAGGTCAACAATATCAGGGATGCAAAAGAGGGCACCCCTTTAGTGGGCCCCAGGAATGAAGGGGAGGTGGAAATCAATGGGATGAAGTGAAGAGCTCTCATTGACTCTGGCTCCAAATAACTAGTATTACCTATAAATACTGGTGCAACCATCCTCTGAAGCAACAACCCTCCGAGATACCAATTGAGGGTGCAGCCGGTCAGAGTGTGACCTACCATGATGTGGTGCATATTGACCTGAAAGTGTTGGGGA